AAGAGTAGTGGTCAAGACTTAAAAAAAAAAAAGTTCAGGCCGAACCATAAGAGTCTTGAATGTCAAGCTAAGGAATCTGAGGTTTATCTTGTAGGCCAGAGGTGTCAAACAAAAGGCCCACAGGCCAAGTTGCTGCTCAAATCAGATTAAAATGTAACTCAGAAATACTGAACAAAATAATTAAAAATGTAATAAAACATAGATAACATTACATTTTAAAATTATCAACATATGACCTGTAAGGAAGGCAATGAAGTCACTGAAGATTTCTGAGCAGAGGACCAACATGATGAAAGTAATTGCGTAGAGTAGTTGGAAGGAAAAAGGTCTAAAGCAGGGACAGACCATTGCAGTAATGCAGGTATGAAGTGACAAGGTTGCTGTCCCCAGGAATAAAAAGTGACACACTGGAGAAAATCTTAAAATGAAGGATCAGCAGAACTATGGGCTGACTGGACAGATGAGGAACCAAATAGAGCTGTCAAAAGTTGCATCTGAAAAGGTACAAGGTGACAACACAGGATAATAGGGCAAGACATAGGAACCACTACAGACCTTCTCTTCAGCAAGGCAGTATGAACTAGCTACAAAGACCTTCTAAATATAACTAAATCAGTAAATATGCCTAATATAATGATGAAGAAAAAGTGAAACTATTTTAATATGTTTAAAATTAGATACTTTGAAGATGCACTACATTTCTTTTTAAAGCAATAACCAATATGTAAGTGGCATTAAAGAAACATTACATATACGGTTTAATTCTACACAACTAAATCTAGAAAAACAAATCAATTTACAAAGATTACAAACTGACAAAAAATTCTTACTTGTAAAGAATATAAACTGTTTTTTAAGAATTGTTTCCCTTTGCCAATTTCCAAATCACATTCCAACATGAAATGATTTGGGAGTCTATTTATGATAGTTTCTTATCAATAACTACAAACAAGCCATGGGTGAGTGAGGAAGAGGATGGAAGGAAAGAGATAAATATAAAGCAGTAAGATTCAATAAAAGTAACTAAAGCAATTACAATTATAGTATTCTGCTACATTCAAAAGTGAAACCATCTAAATAACCGTAAAGCAGGGATTCTTAACGCTGGATCTATAAACTTTTTTTTTAAAATATGTTGATAATTGTATTGGAATATAATTGGTTTCCTTTGTAATCCTATGTATTCTATCTTATGCATTAGAAACATTAGTCTAAGAAGGGGTCCATAGTTTCACCAGACTGCCAAAGGAGTCCACAAAGGTTAAAAATCTTTATTGTAGAGAACTTCCATAGGTTATCTAGTTCTTTTAGGTAGTATTTCTCCTACACCAGTCAAAAGAGTTAAAATGGACGTCACTTATAAGCACAGGGAATTTACTCATGCAAAGTCAAAGGGCAAGTTTATGACAGCTATGGAACTAGAAGTTGGGTCATCTGATTTCCACCCCAAGGCTCCTTCTACCACACAACTCTGTTCTTCTGAGTACCAATTAATTCAAAGATTTCATTTCCCTTTACCAGAATCCACTAAGCAAACTTTTATCGTATTCAACCTAAAATCTTCTTTTTGCACCTTAAGCCAACTTCCCCCTGAGTTCTCTTCATTGAAGAAAGAGAACAGTTATTATAAGAATCATTCAAACATCTGAAATAAAATGAACCATCACTACAAAAAAAATTCTTGACAATTTCCTTGCTTACTATTTTTGACTCAAATGGCTATTTGACCTTTGGGTTAGATTTGTTATTTCTTCTCACATGGAGCTCTAAGAGGGGTGGTACACTGCCCTGACAGAATGGCAAATTCATGGGATATTCAATTCATTTCAACAAACATTTTATCATTAAGAGCCTACCTACAACATGCAGGGCACTGTGCTGAAATACGATAATTGTAAAGATAGATATTAAATCAAGAAGGCTTTGAAACGAGGCAGGGAAATTTCAAACTTATTTAAGATTCCCATTTGAAATATTCAGAAAGAAATTTTAAAATGCAGTAATGGCTTAGCTGACCACATAATAAGTCAATCACTTAATAAATGCTTAGTACAGTGCTTGGCTCATAATAAATAGCTAGTAAATGCTTTTTCATTCATTTTCATACAATAATAAGTAGGTAGAACTACAGGCAAGGTAGAAAGAGGAAAGGCTATGAAGGAGCAGTGAATGAGCAAGGACCAATACAGTGTTCACAAGGAACTAAAGTTACTCAGCTTACATTAAATAATTCAAATATTCTATCCTTTACCCTTTCAAGGAAATACCCAAGGTAAGTTCAGGTTCTCTAGAACTTTTTTTTGGCAAGTCAATTGGGGTTAAGTGACTTGTCTAGAGTCACACAACTAATAAGTGTTATCTATCTGAGGCCTTATTTGAACTCAGGTCCTCCTGATTTCAGGGCCAGTGCTCTACACATCGCACCACCTAACTGCCCTATCTAGTTCTAACTTTTAAAGCAATATTGGTGGAACAGATTAAGTTACAAAAAGAAGTGGAGAATGAACTTAGATCTCAGTAGCTAAAAATATCTCAAAGCTAAGAGCAAACAACCTGATTTACAAAACTGATACATTTAGTGCCTCTCGACCTTTCCTCCTGTTGAGCTACTAATGGTTTTTCAGATCAAATCCTAGTTTGAACTCAGTAGTCTCCAATTCTATTTTTCCCTGCAATAAAATCGGTAAGTAAAATAAATACATTGAAATCCTTGTAAGCCCTTATTAGGTAGAGGGAATATTACAGGATTAAGAGCAAGAAGGAACCTTAGAAATCATCTAGTCTGCCTCTCTCATTTTATAGAGTAGGATATTGAGGCCCACAGAGCTTAAATGACTTGTCCAAGGTCACACAGGTATTAGCAGCAGAGCTGGAATCTGAACTCAAGTTCACTGACTCCAAATCCAGTGCTGTAAGATCACCTCATGGGCCTCTGTCAACACATACACTGGATAGCAAGAAGCGCCTGAAGACTACCTAGGAAACTTTGGCAGTTACTGACAGATCAAGGCTGGTAAAAGAACTTTACATCCTGGGAAACTTTCCGTGTAGGACTTGTGGTGGGGAAAGCCCCGCCTCTGAGGTAGACCAGAAGTTTATCAGTCACTTCAAGAGAAAGAACGGTCTGTCCCACATTTCCTTGGAGAGCAGGGAGAGGTCTACGGGACTCTACGCTCAATGCCAGGCTTTGTCCAATACGTAGTAAGTTTTTATTCCTCTTTCTTATGTTATAAGGGATTGCTATATGGAAGAGCAAAGGAAGATTAACTTGACAAATGTAGTTGTCTATATACACAAACATAGCAATAAAAATTTATTAAAGAAAACAAAAAGAATTGCCTGGAGCACAGAGCTGAAGTCACTTATACAATGATCAGCTGTTAGCATATGCCAGAGGCAGGAAATGACCCAGATCTTCTTGATTCCAAGGACACCCTCTATCTACTATGCCAATTTAAATGAACTGATTCACAGAATATACAAACAAAATATGCAATTACAATGGTTGGTACAGTCAATTTTTGATTACCTAATAATAAAACGGTAGGAAAATACTGGTATAAATAATTCAAAGTATATTTAAAAAATTTTTCAATGTATTTGTATGCTTTTGGGGCCAGGAGATTTATCTTATTAATTTTTAAGTTTAACATTAAAATTGCTTTGCATTCCCTAACTGCAAAAGGAGGGAGATCTAAAGTATGATGAGTGGTAATGGAAAGGAAATGGAAATTTAAAATCTTTCATAAAAGTCAAGTACCTACATAGATATAGATATATATGTATGCATACACACATATATAATATATATACATATATAATAAAGAAAATGTTTTACACATGAAAAATTAGCTTCAATGAACCTTTAAAGTTTTTACATGGCTTTCAAAAAAATTTAAGTATAATTCTTAAATGGAATTTCACGAATTCTAATTGAATTTAAATGGGAATGAGAATGAATGTCAAAGTGACCAGACCAGGTATGTTATGGGGCTAGCTCTCAGAACCACCAGACTAAAAATTAGACTGTTTCTTTTGTAAAGAGCCTAACTCAATGTGCTTATTAGCTTCTCTTTTAGATTGTATGATTTAGGTTCCTGAGCCCAGTGATCTTCATTCAGTCCAGAGATCTGATGGGCAAAACAAAGTAGCGATTGTGGAAATCCACAAGTTCAAATGACTCAAACCAACAGTCCTGATGGTAGGTCAATGACATCATCAGTAAATAAGGAACAGAGTTAAAAAATAGGCTGCTGTCACATACAAGTATAATTTGGAATTTACTCTGCCACGAATCAGAAAAAGTAACATGCACAATGGGACAAAAAAGTGTGAAATAGAACGCTGATAGAACATAAGACAAGGCTAAAAATGTTTTAAAAAACAACAGATTTTTTAATGGGAGGGGGAGAATGAGAGACAGGAAATGATATCAATTAACCAATATCATAGGAAAGAAGGACCTAGCACAGGTACACTCACTAGCAGCAGAAGCAGGAAAGGGGAGTTTGTATAGAGATTGAGAGGGTAGTGGCAGCATGAATGAGAGGGTGAAGAATTAACAGCTGACAGAGGCTCCTGGCAGATTAAAAAGAAACTGGTCCAGCAGCTGAAAAGAAGAGCTAGCAGCTAAAGGGATAAGTAGAACATGTGTCAGAGAAACATGCCTGACTAACGGAAACCAATCAGGCCTTTAGGAGATGAGGCAGAAGAAGCCTTTGGGATTACACAGCTACATTGCTTAACTTTTCATTTAAACATCCTATTCCTCATTTTCCAAATCTGAATTTCAAATTTCCATTTTTCCAAACATTTCCTAAATAATACAAAGAAGGGATGGCAGAAGTCAAAAGTCCCATTTGGAGGAAAATGCCAAGTATTCTGAGTTCTACCACTCTTAGTTTTGCTAACTGCCAGAACCAAAAATGTTTAAGCAAAGTCAAAAAACAATAGTTAAGAACAATTACCTCCTGTTCTACAGCATCTTGTCCTTCTTTGTACTTTTTCCACTTTTCCCCGATTTTGCTGGTTCCTGAGAAAACATCAAGCAGATTAAGTTTTATATTTCTGAGTTTGCAAAGCCTTAAAATTTTTAAAACTTTTAAGAACCTATGCAATTGTATTTCATTTTAATATTATCAAATAGTTCTAAAATATGCTACTGTTTAGAGATGTAATAGAGGACAAGACATTTATTTACTCTTTTTAGTTTTTGTTACCAAGGCTACAAAAAAAAACCGGATGCAAGATATATGCAATTATTTATGGTGTTCTACGTGTGTTTTAAAAAAAAAAGTCCCTTCCTTTTCCCTTTTTCTAAACTCCTATGACGGCGGTTTCTAAGGTGACGCTAAAATGCTATACAGCGCCACCTGAAACCAAAACAAAAAAAGCTAACGCAGCAGAAATACATATCATCACACATACACATCATCATAATGCAGGATAATACTATTTTATAGCACTAGAAAGTCTCCGAAGGGACACAAAATTCCTCAAGATCATGAGAAATCCACTAGACAACTCCGGTAAGCAAAGGAAGTTTGGTGTCCAGGGCTGATTTCCCAAACCCTCTCCCCATCCAGAGTCCGAACGACCCCCCAAGCCACAGCCCCCCCGACGGCTGCCGCTGCTGCTTCACCCTCTCTTCCAGGGCCAGGAAGCATGTTCCAAAGCATCTCTTGCAGCCGGCATCACCCCCACCACCCCGCTGCTCCGGAGAGGTTCAGGGCGGAGGAGGCACCGACTGGGGACACCAGATGCCGTTTCCCGGGCAGCCGCCCCCCCCCCGTCCCCTTTCCTCCCAGGACAAGCTCGGGCTGCTGTCACTGATCCCAGAGGCCTGGAGGGGAGCAGAGGGGGTGAGGTGTGGGCGCCGCCGGCCGCCCGGGCGTGGGCGGATGGTGAGGGCTGCCCCCCCACTTGCTTGAGATTTACCAACTCCTGGGGGGAGGAGATGTGGAGCGGAGGGTGGACCTAGGGTTAGCCGCCAGAAGGAGGGCTCCGGCTGCCCCGTCCGAGGCCTGGGCACCCGGGCGCTTCCGCGCCTGCCCCGCTTCCAGGGTGACTAACTCCGGAGCATCACTTGTCATTGGCCGGGGCTGGGGTCCGGAGAGCGGGGCAAGCGAGACGGGCCCCCGCCAGGAGCAGAAGTTGTCGGCGAGTTCTCGTCTCAGGGGGCGGCGCCCGGGCCCCCACACTAGGCCCCGTCCCCACAGGGGCAGTTTCGTCTTCTCCCCTCCCGCCTCCAGGCCCGGCCCCCAGTCCCCGTCCCCTTCGCAGGCTCGGCGGGCGGGCCGGGGCCCCGGACTCACTTTCTCCTTCTTGTTTTTATTCGGCATGGCTGGTGCGGGCCGCCCGCCCCTGCCGCCTCCTCCCGCCGCCGCCGCCGCCGCCTCCTCTTCCTCCTCCTCCTCCGCCACCGCCGCCTCCAGCAGCAGCACCAGCAGGAGCAGCAGCAGCAGCGCCCCCGACGCTGCCTCCTTCGGTCCTCCTGCCGCCTTCTCAGCCGCCACCCCCGCCGCCGCCTAGCCGGGGACTGAGTCCCTCCCCGCCCTCGCTTCCCCTTTTCCAGGCTCCCAGAAGCTGCAGCAGCCGCGGCGGCGGCGGCGGCGTCTCTTTCCCCTCCCCCCCAGCCCTGGCCGCCCCCTCCCCTTTTGCTCCCCCTCTGAGAGCCCCGCCCCATTCTCTTTCCCCCCCCTGCCCTGCCCCGTTCCGCTTTGCCTGGGGTCCGGACCCCGCCCCACTCAGGCCCCTGCGCCGTCCCACGGCCGGGTACGGCGCTTTGTCATTGGTTGAGCTCCCGTCTCCTCCCCCGGTCACGTGCCCCCTAACGTTCGTCCCTCGTCTGGTCCTCCGGACCTCGGCCCTTCTTCACTCTCGCGCTTTCGAGGGTCGCTGGGTGGCCGGCTGTGGTCGCGAGCTCGCTTCTTTGCCTTCAGTCTGGGGACGCTGGCGGGCGAGTGCCCGGGCTCTGCTCCTTTGGGGCGTGCGAGGAAGGAGAGGACCAAGGCGTGACGGGCTGGGGCGAGGGAGACGCGGAGCCGGGCCGCGAAGCAGCCCTAGGAGCCTGGGGGCCCGAGGCCGGCTGCCGTGGGGGGACTGGTGTGGGAGGGAGGGGAGCCCGTGGTGCCTGGGAACGTTAGCTGCCGTTGGGGCGGTGGCGGAGCCCGGGAGAGGTTAAGGGGCGGCTGGAAGCGACGTGTGAAAACGCAGACGGTCCGAAGCGGAGGCGAAGAGCCACCCTCGCTGGCGGGGGAGAAGTGGGGACACCCCGTCCCCCCCCCGCCCTCGCCCTGCCCAGAAAACGGGGTGTTTTCTCGTCGCTTGCGGCTCCCTCTCGGTCTAAGCTCTGAGGGTAAAAAACTCAGTCAGCCCTGGAGGTGTGAGTGTGGGGGAGGTGCCCCAAGATGTTATCAGCAACCCGGCCCCCCCCCCCCCGCGCTTCCTGACGGAGGCCTCCCTTGGTCTCGGGGCTATAGCCTTTGGGTGGAGCTGATGCTCTTGAGGCTTTGAACCTCAAGCCGCTTCCTGCCGAGTTGGAAGCCCACGGGTCAGGTGATGACAGACATTTCGGGGGGTCTGCCCGTGTTTTTGGCCGGGTGGGTGGGGAGTCGGGGGGAGGTGTGGCGGAACGAAGTGAATCAGACATCGCGTTTGCTAGATGCAGCAGCTGATGATTTTAAAGAATGTTGGGGGGGAGGTTCCCCCTTGGCTAATATGCCATGTGAGGAAAAACTACTGCATTATAACTAGGAGTCATCTGATTTTTTCGACCCCCTTATATGTATGAGAAAGAAGGTGTGAATTTTCCAAGGAAAACGTTGAAGCATTAGAAGACATTTAAGCGGATGGAAAGTTGGGGGCACATGTTCAATTTGGCCACTGCCCGGGAGTACTTGACTACTCAATACTACGGGTCATCCAAATGTTTAGAAACTGAAAACGTGCATTAGGTAATAAATCATACAGATCATCCCTTGCTGGAATTTGTGTAAAAGCAAGGAGTCTCACCAAATACCTATGTGCTAGTTCAGAAACCAATAGTCCAGTTTTAGGCAGTGCTTAGACTGATGTATCATCTCATGCTTCCAATGAGAGTTGCAAAATAGCATGTGCTGTTCTGTGATGGGAAATTTAAAAGCCGGAAAACTCGAAATTTAAAGGAAATATTGTTATGATATTCTAAAAGTAAATTCTTGCCTGCAGGGGCCTGAATGTACACAAGCATTTAGATGAACATCTAGATTACAGATAAATAGGATGTTGAGTCATATAATTTGCATAAAAGCTGATGCTATTCTCCTTTATAATGGCTCCATAAATATTGAAAAGACAAAAATACTCGTTATTTTAGTTATTGTTAATTTCTTAAAACTTCCTAACGACCATAAAAATGCCTAATAACAGTGAATTAAGTATAAAGAATGAAACATATGTACTTTTTAAGGAATTTACCTTTTAATGGGGAGGGGAATAGTACATGTAAAAATTTGCACCATAAATCTATAAAGTGGTAGTTTGGAAGGGAAGGCACTAGCAGTTGGCATAAAGGCTTAATAAAGAAGACAGTGCCCGAGCTGTACCTAAAAGTTATGAACCTGGAAGAATGGTGGTGTCTTCAACACAAAGGAAGGGGTGGGGGAAGGGAATGAGTTCAGATTCAGACATGTTGAATTTAAGAAGTCTTGATAGATCCATTTTGAAATATCTAGTAGTGGAAGGAAACAAGTTTATGAGGACTGGAGCCTGATATATAGATGTGTGAGTCATCTACATAGTGATAATAGTTAAACCAATGTGAGCTGATGTGGTTACTTAGATTAGGGCGTAGGAGAGACTCTTGAGCACCTATAGTTACAGGATATGAAATGGATGATTAAGAGGGAATAGTTGAAGACAAATCGGGAGACAGTAGTGTCATGAAAACCCAGAGAGGAGGAGAGGGTTGTCAACAATGTCATATGCAGGGGCAGCTAGGTGTCAAAGTGGATAGAGCTCTGACCTTGGGGTCAGGAGGACCTGAGTTCAAATCTGGCCTCAGACACTTAACACTTACTAGCTGTGTGACCCTGGGCAAGTCACTTAACCCCATTGCCCAGCAAAAAAAACCAAAACAAAAACCAATGTCATATGCAGCAAATAGATTTGCTAGGTTAAGAAGGACAAAGACTGGAAAACATGATTTGTCAAGAGATCATTGGTGACTTTGGAAAGAGCAGTTTCGGGTGAGTGTTAAGGTAAGAAACCAAACTGCAAAGGACTGAAGGATATGAGAGGGGAAGATAGTTAATATAGACAGCTTTTTTCCAGGACTTTGACTTAGGAGAGATAAAGGACAAAGGCTTGAAGGTATGGTAGGACCTAACAAAGGTTTTTAAGGAGTGGAAAAGGGCATATTTTAAGGCTATGGGGAGCAAGAAGTTTATAGAGAGAGATTGAAGATTTGAGAGATGGGGATAAATAAGGATGCAGTCTGCTGGAGAAGACAGGAAGGAATGGGATCAAAAGCACCCATGGAGAGGTTGGCCTTTGCAAGGACAAGGGCCATCTCTTTGTCAGACTAGGTGAAAGGAAGAGAGAGTTGGGGTTATGTTTTGAGATGAAAAGATAAGGGAGCTCACATCATATGGCCTCAGTTTTTTCAGTAAAGAGGCAAAGTCCTCACCTGAGAAGGGGGAGGAATGTTTTAGCGGGATTGAGGGAAGAGAAGTTTGAAATAGTTTCTGTGGGAAGTGAGGTGAGGAATCAGGGAGGACTAAAAGGACTGCCTTGCTCTAGTGAAGGCCCACTTGAGGTTGGATAGCAAGAATTTGTAATATACCCAGTTAGTCCTTCCTATATAGCTTTGTTCAGTGGCTTGTGAATAGGAGTGAAGGAAATGGATAGTGAATGTAATCTCAGACTCAGGTTTGGCAAGAGGAGATTGTGAAGGAGGCAAGGGACTCAAGCAGAGTTGAAATGGCTAACTGGATTTGAGGTTGAAGAGGGAAGAAAATGTAGAGTAGGGGTAGTGAGCTGAGAAAATATTGAGAAGTGGAGGGATTGAATGTCTTCAGGGTGAAGAACAGATTTAGGAGAAATGAGGCATAGAAATGGGACAATAGGTTATGGTCAGATAGGGGAATGCCAGAATTTCTTACTAGGGAAATGGAACGCTTGTGGTTCAGTGGTGAGCTATATAGTGTGTGGCTTCACTATCCCTTTGTGTGGCTGAGATAGAGTGAAGAAGTAGGTCTTGTGATTTCAGAACACTGAAGAATTGGGAATTTAGGAAGTTTGAGAGAGCGTCTATGAAGATACTAATATAAGGGCAGGAGTTGGGGAGAAGGTGGTGAACAAGATATTGAATTTCTTGGGAAAAGCAGAAGAATAACTTAGGGGTTAGTATATTAAGTTATAATTTCAATTGGGTGGAAAATTATAGGAGGTAAACAGCCTGAAAGTAGCAGTGGGGATCAAGGGTATTTTGGCTTGCCTTCAGGAGCAGTATTGTGTGAGGAGGGAGAGGAAGAAGGCTGTGAGAAAAGGCACAGCCAATGATGAAGGGGATAGACAGTGTCATCAGAGGAGGTTAAGATCTCAGTGATGGCCAATAGAAGTAACATGAGATTAGGTCCAGCATGAAGGAGAGTGAGTTCACAGTGGAATAGGAATTCCAGAAGAGACAATGAAAAAAGGGAGCAGGATTGAAGTGGGTGATTCAGTAGGGTTAGGATTGAGAGGAATAGGGATGAGAGAAAGGGAGGAAGGGAGCTGGGGACAGTTTTCTGAATGTCCAGTGATTAATATAAGGATAGAAAATAAGAAGCCATGAGGTAATACTGGTAGATGGATAATGAAGTTCATAGTCTCTAAAGGATGTTGCAGAGAGTTGGGTTGGTTCTGGTTTTGCTTCTTAACCTGAGTGGTTGGTGGAGGAGTTGGGGTGGGATGTTGAAGTTTGGCAGCGGTACGAGGGGCACTGATCTGTAGCAAGTCATGAGTCCGAGTGTGGTCAGGCAGCTGCTCCAACTCTTCCTCTTGGGTAGCTGATGAAAGTGGTAGGCAGTGTTTCTTCTTCCCCGCATATCCCTACTACCATCCCTTCCGGCCGAGGTATGGGTCCTACAGAATTTTAATGAAAGCATGAAATAGTGAAAAAATATTTAAAAGATTTAGAATCAGAGAACCTGGGTTTGAATCTTAGCTTTGCTACTTACTGTTTCTTAGGATTAGCCAAACTCTGGGCTTCAGTTTCCTTATATAAAAAATGAAGAATTGTATTCAGGTGATCTCTGAGGTACCTTCCAACTATAAATATGTAGCCCTAAATTTAAAAATGTTATAAAAATTACATTATCCCTTTCAAAGAAATAAAAATTGGCCAAAATAATCT